AAAGGTTTCCTATTGTAAAACATCTTATGTATCCTTATGGTCTTGTTTGTTTGGTTTATAAGCCATTCTTCCTCTCGTAGTTGAGCATCTGTTGCATGATTTGAGACTAACATCCTATAAAGTGTATAACTCTTCCTTTTTAGCGCGGGGATCCAAAAAAGTCGTACATGCGGGAGATAGAGATGACCGATGATGTTCCACACGTAAAAAGTGATAACAGCTGGATCGAACGCATAACGGTAGGAATGTCACATGCGACTTTTGATTCTAAATGCCATTTTTGAAGACCATCTTTTCTCACATGATTGGCTTTCTACATCCTCTCAGGCTTCTTCTCAGCCGAGCATTGAAGCGAAGTCTGGTTCCCAATAACATTTTTTGTCTTGTCTTCATTTACAGATTTACCAATGCCCGTTGGAAGAAGTGCCGGAATTTGGCGGTTTTGTCACTCCAGTAAGGAACTTTCCTCTTTATCGTGGGAAACAGGAGGAGAATGAAATTTCATCAGAGCAAAGACTCAGTGGCTACTTTAAGGTAAGCCACTTCTGAAATGGAGCCAAAGAAAGAGGCATTCATTAAAAACATTGTTACACTGTGTCAGCTAGGATGGTGATGTTGGCCTGAATGCGGGTAAAAAGGCTGTCTGTAAACAGGTTGAAAGATGTGTTGATGCCAGAGACTGGTTCGGAACGAGTGATTGTGGGCCTCGAATGTGTTTTTTTGCACAAAACGTTGGAACAACTGAAGTGGGCAATGTGAATTTGTAAACCCCCAGAGCCGGAGTCTCTTGAATACGTGAAGCCTTATAGTGGTCTTCAAAGAAGCGCTGATTTGCGTCCAATTTTCAGAATAGTTTTGATCCCTCAAGATCGGATCCCTGAAGGTTGAGTATGACTGCGATGGGAGTAGACTACCAACAGCGTTGAACAATTGATGCTTATCTTTTCATTTTTTAGGGAAACATCATCATATATCCTCTGAATGACGTGGAGGAAGACGAGGTCGATGAAAGCCATCTTCACTTGTATGCCAGCATGCCCCGGAAGGCTGTTGTCAATATGACCGTTCGGGTCTACGTTGTCAGGGTAAGTTCACCAAAGCTTATTCTATCCATCTTGTGCTGAAGGAGTAGAGCAGATCATTATGTGGAATGCTATCCATTCGAAAGTAACCTCATGATCATTTGAAACTATTTTTCCATCCTCAGAACAGGCTGAGCAATGAGCTTTCTTACGATAATACAAAGCTAAATGTCAAAAAGCCTCTGAATTAAAACCAACTATTTTTTAATTTATCAAGTCCACAGTCTGAAGCTGAAAATTATCATACATACTATGGACTCCGGACTAGGTGTGTTAATCTAAGTCTTCCTACTAATATGATCAAGTTGTGAAAAAAAGTCAAACAACATTTATACGACGAAAAGAGACCGCAAACATACAAAAGGTCATGCCATTTTCGTCTTCATATGTACAATTAAAAAATATTTTAGAAGTGGGTTGACCTCGTTGTTGCAACTTGGTCTTGCGACCATACCCGAGGCCACAACATCTTGGTCTTCATATCTTCAAAAGATTTTTTAGTGTATCGAAATGCCTGTACAACTTAAATCACTCAAAAATGATTGTGTTAACAATTTCTGGCTAAATAAACGACGATGTCATAAGATTGTTTATTCGTTTATTCCCATATGTACCTAAATTGGGTTGAACAAAGTTTATATTCGTAGCAATCGGGTTTGTCACATGCGATCTGAGACGACCAGAACCCCAATTGGACAAGAATGGCGAAGTTAGGAATAAACGGTGAAAATGAGTTCTCGGCGCCACCCTTATTTTCTTGGTTCATTGAATTTAGTGTGTTTTTTTCTCAAGGATGTTGTATCGCTCTGAAGCTGTGTGCTAAACCAAGACAGACGAAGAATTGACACAAGTTAATTGGGACCTCAAGACGTTTAGCCCAGGACTTTTTTACACAATCCAACAGTCTTTACTCCACAGCCAACCTCTTTCGGTCTGAAGTGGGATCATTCCACGAATTTGTTCCAACCTACTTTTTCTTCGAAATAAATAGTCAAGTCCATGCTGCCACAAAAGAAATATAGAGCCAAAATCACGCTGTATACATTATACTTGTTAAATAAGCTAAAGTAATATGAGATGTATTCACCCGATTTCGTTTAGGGTGATGAAGGAATGGTAGAAGAATTTTCCCATAATGATATGAGTATAGCTGACGATTCCATTGAATTTCACATATCATATCATATGTGGGAAAATTCTTCTACCAGTCCTTGATCATCTTGAACGAAATTGGGTGAATACTTTTCATATTACTGATTTACTGGTAGTCACGAAAACAATACTTAACTCGAAAAATATTATTTTATAAGGCTGACCTTAATTTTGTGTGATAAAATGCACTAGAGGCTATGAAATAACTATCCGCCCTAGAAAAAATTGATTGATTGATTGGCGTTGAACGGAGCCAACAGTTGATTTGTGAAGAAAGCTTTAAATGGCCACGTGTGAAAAATCACTAATCTAAATTTGCTAATAATTTCCAGATTAATTTGTTATACCATTATTCATCTCCCATCATACCCCATGGTCAACCATGATGATATTTATGAGAAATATGCCCAGTATAACTGGTACAGTTACGGATTTTCCTGCCTAAAATGCTTTTATTTTGCCTCTTCAAGCCTCTGCAGTTGGTTTTTATGCAATCGCTCTGTCAAGATCAGGATTAGAATGAGGGATCGAGCCTTTTATTCTATTGGTTAGCCATGACGACGAGCTGATTAAAATGCTAACTTGAGCTATCATCCGAAATTTCGGCTTGTGCCAACCTATTAAATAGGCAATAATTCATTCTGAACGCCTTATTGCTTACTACTCTTGAGCTACTTAGTACATGGATCAGTTAAACTTCGTGAAAACAGTGCTTTACAAGGGCTGAAGCTGTATTTTAGGCCGAACTGCTCCTTTTCATTGTCTCTTCCACCCAGACTCTTTTCAATCTCAAGGGGCTGTCATAATATTGTTCAACTTTTTCATAATTTTCTTTTAACTTGCTAATATGTCTAATAAAAAAGTGGATAAAATACGTGTAACATAATTAAAAGTATTTCTATATAAATTGACTTAACAGTGCTTTCTTTGCATCCATCCTATTCTACCCATTCTACCCAACAAGGGCTTAGATTTGCATCCAACGGACCTGAACGGGAAAGCAGATCCCTTTCTAATATTGACATTGGGTAGTCAAGAAATGAACGACAAGTCGAACTACAAACCACGAACTCTGATGCCCATTTTCGGTCGGATGTTTGAGTTTAACGCCCATTTCCCGATGGAGTCAATACTGCGCATTCAGGTGTGTCATTTCCGAATCGGCAAATTGAGCTATTCTTTTTTAATTGTCATGGGACTGCTTTGTTTGTGTACATATGTGGTGCAATCGGGCGTTTTTTGCTACAAGTGTAAAATGAGAATGACTCTAATTGCATCAGGCACACGTGAAGAGTTACTCGTAATGTGTGATATTTCAAATAATTATTTGGGGCTATTATGTGTCTTGACCACAGGATATGATTGACTGTTTATGTCCATCAGTCAAGCTGTTGGGTCCGGGCTCAGTGTGATGGTTCCATAAACAGTGGCAATGATCGGCTGGAACGGCGGTAGCTATAATAACTGCGATACTAATTAATTGTTTTTTGAATTTCCGGTGGGTCTAGATTGACAAACTGATGCTCTGGGTTAACCTAGCACAATTATTTAGTTTAAAATGACTACAAATGAAAATGAATTAAACTCCAATCCAGAGGAAAGCAGAAGCATTGGCCAATTTCGTGGCCTGAATAGGGCAGCATGATTAGCTCAAATCAGTCCCCTTTATTTCAGACAGGATTGGGGTTTATATCAGATACCAATTAGCCAATCAGCGGACGAAAGCATAAGATCCAGATGATTATCTCAATT